TACAATAGTTTGTATAAAAAAATTTAAGTGTGGTATTATTGTAAATAAAACAAGGTTCTTGAGTTGTGTCCTGGTGTAACTTAATATTAATATCAGAGTCTTCTCTTCTTATGTTGTGTTTTTACAAGGGGATGTGGTTGATAAGCTAACGGTTCAGATATTCAGGAACCCTCATCATGAAATTGTCATTTTAACACTATGAGTTGGGGTAATCCTTGTTGGGAGGCTGGCTTTTTTCTTTTTTCTGCTGCAGTGGGTGATGTGTCCCATGGCTGTTGGCAGCAACTTGGTTTGGCCTGTTTCCCTTCATTTTTCATGAGCTGCTGCTGAAGTTTTTAGTGGCTGGATTGGGTTTTTGCTTGCTGCAACTGATCAGAGGAGAGTACTGATACTGATCAAAACAACCAGCTCATCACTTTATTTTCTTACAGCTGTAATGTATGTTGTGTACACATTTTTATAATATATGTTGTAATGTATGTTGTGTACAAGTTTTTATAATGCAACATTGAGGTTCTGTTTCATTATTTGATGAATTTTTCTCTTTGATGTACTTTTTATTTTAAGTTTCATGACAAAAAAATCTAGCAAGTGATTAAAGTCTTATTAGGGTGGAAATAATAGATTATGAATGCATCATTTAAAGTTTGTAATATTTGTTTTGAATCATCTCTAACTCTCCTATGAATGATCACTTACTATCTTGAGTTAAAAAATCTGCATAAAATTATGACGAGTTACTAAGTGCTTTTGTTTATTGCAAATCAAACCACAAAACATAATATAGTACAATCAACAAAGATACATTTTTTATTCTCTACTTAATACAAGAAAACAAAAGGAAGTTTTTACAATTTCTCAATCATCTTCACGCTGCCTGACAAAAGAAAGCAAAGGAGCCAGAATGTACACCTTTTACACACCCCTTAAACAACCAAAAGAAACCATCTAGAATGGAAAACCAAAAAAGTCTTTACACAGCTAAGAGAACAGCAGTAGCCACAACACAAGACCTCGAAAAACACTTGAAGCAGGAGCAAAAAACTGCCCATAAAACAGCAGCAAAAAAATCGACTGGAGAAGTGGATCAGCCATAGCCCCACGCTACAAACCACAGCAGCAACATCCAAGCAACAACACAGCAGCAAGAATGGACAGCCAACAGTAAAAAAGCAACAAGAATAGCCCCCTACTGGTAAAATAAATTGTAGCAGTAGGGGAGAAAATGAGTCTATGGCAACGCACAAAGACCCCAGCGCCAGCTGCCTCAATGCAGTCTTCACCTCCTCCCACAAAGCCAACCTCCAAGCCAACCACCCCAGCACCAAAAACGCCCCCCAACCGCCAGTCCCTCTCACCAGCCACACAAACCACACACAAATGTATTACAGCAAGCTTAAATTTAAATCCTCACTTTAATGTATAAGAAAACACAAAAAGTGAGGCTTCCAAAAATAAGTGCTGAAAATATTTTTCCCGAATGATCATAAACAATTGTGGCATTGAATATGTCGAACCTGAAAATAAACACAATAAAAGTATAAACCAATAGCACTTGATGATATTCGCTGATTGATATTGAGTTGCTTTTAGAAACTCATGGTTCCAAGATGTATACTCAGACTCGTCGAGCTTTCTATAAGCAAGTGCCAATGTACGCAACCCAACTTCTCCATATTCATTCAAGTGACTAGTAGTAACTTCCTCATACATTCTTCCATTCTTTGATAGCCGATAAAAAATAATGTTGCATATTCCAAGCAAAGAACTCATGCACAACGAGATGATTGCAAAAGTTCAAAAATTATAGCTAATATTGACCATTTGCCATTTATAAAACTCAAATGAAACCAGTAACAGCCCCCAAACAGTAGATGGAAGTCATATACACATTCAAGGCCTCTAACAGGAAGCCAAATCTAAAAAAAGTTGTGAGGATAACCTATCAGTGCCTTTGCAGAAGAGAAAAATCTGCCCATCCTCATCCCAAACAATTACGCTCATCCGCTTTCTTTTGCTAGTGAAATCCAACAAATTGAGAATTTTGTAATCTCTGCAAGATTCCCAAAAGAAATTAAGATGCTATGACACTAAAAATTCAAGTGAAATAAAAAATTGGAAAAAAAGCTTCACATGGAAAATTATTCATTTATATCCTCACCTTTGAGTTGGCTGTCTTGAAGAATGATATATTTCACGGATAAACACATTGGATTGAGTTCTTTTACAAAATTCAAAACCAAACTCCCTAGCAGCAACAAGAAAAGCCCCTTCGTCTGGTGACTCTGCTTCGTATGTGACGTTGCCAGTCTCTTCATTATCAGCGAACAACTACATATTAAGACATTCTGGAGAAGAAGATATCAAGTAACAGAAACCTTGTAAACAGGTCGGTTCCCAGCAGGAGATATTGGGCCCTCAACCCTTTTTCCAGGTAGAAGAAGCTGAAGGGCAGCCTCAAATGCTGCATAACAAGCAATTATTTTCCAAGCCGTAACAGTGGGTCTTGGCCATATATCTACAAATCCTTGAAGCCCACGGTGGTGGAAGACGAGGAGTCACGAATGATTGTTGTCTTCTTGTCATAACAGTGGGTCTTCTTGCTGTTGGATGTTATCGGACCACTCAAAGGTCCACTGTATCCGACTCTATTGCTTCCAGGATTGATGTCTGTCTATTACCACGATTCGTGGCAGCTGTGATGACTCTCTTTGATTTCTATTTTCAACTTTCTCTGAATATCTTCTCAGAATTTCTTCAGCTTATTGGCTCGTCCTAGAATAATGAGGCTCGGCTCATCAAGATAAGTGCACTGGAGAGAAAAAAATTTTAGGAAGAGGAGCTGCGCATGACAATGGTGGAAGATTGATTGTAGGGCAACTTTGAGAGAGATTTCTAATTTGGGGGAAAAAGAGAGTTCGATTCGGATGATTTTGTTTTGGGAGAGAGATTAGAGTTAGGGGGAACTGAAATTTTTGGTTTTTTTTTTTTAAATTTTTTTTAATAATTTGAGAGGAAATTGCATGGCTTTTTGATGATGTGAGAGAGTGATGTAAGAAGATGGTGTAAGCCTAGCATTACATGCACTGCCAGCATTACATGCACTGCCACGTCATGATGTGAGAGAGTGATGTAAGAAGATGGTGTAAGCCTAGCATTACTGTTTCCCAAATTCATCCAGATTCGCCAGAAAAAATCACCTCCCATAAATATAAACACAATTGAAATTCATCCTCATCTTAACACCATATTCAAAATTATGTTTCTTCTGTGTTTTTCTTTATTTCACAGGATAAATCTCCTAGTAAAACGATCCCCAATGCTGAATTGAATGGCAACTTCGGAGCATCTAGTGGATCTGACATTACATTGTCAAGTTCTGAGAGTGATTCTGGGCTCAATACCCCGCGAGACCAGGTCCCTAACAGCTTTCTATCATCCCTGAGCCACACTACAGTGCCCAATAAACTAACAGAAAAGACCCAAGTAACAATCTATGAAGAGCATCAGAAATCACAATGGGAGTGTTCAGTCAGTTCAGACCATGGAATAAGTACTGACAACTCCACAAATGGTTTTCAAGACACTTTTTTACGAGAAAGGTCTGAACAGGCTTCAGATAATGAGATTGAAAAACTCAAGTCTGAGCTTGTTGCTTTGACAAGGCAGGCAGATTTGTCAGAGTTGGAATTACAGACTCTGAGAAAGCAAATTGTGAAAGAAAGTAGAAGGGGGCAGGACCTATCCAGGAGGTTTAAAAAGGAAATAAAGAAATAGGATTAAAAAAAAAAATTAAGGGTTTATGGATTAATTTAAAATTAATGGTGAATATTAAAGTTTATTTTTTGGTTGGATATAAAATTACTATATTGTTCTTACTTAAACGGATTTTACTAACAGATTTGAACAGAAAGTAGGGCTTCGTTTGGTTCAAAATTTGGGGGTTTTGGGAAAAGTTTTTTGAAAAAAAGTTAAAAAAAAGGTTGAATTGGGCAGGTATTATGAGGTGGAATTTATAAATTTAAAATACCCATTATGTTTGTTTTTTTACAAAATACCCCCTATAATAAAACATTAAAAGTTAACAAAAACACCCCTAACCCACCCTCAAATACCCCCAGCCGGCCACCACCACCGGAGGTGGCCGGAGTCATCTTATCAGCGCATGACAGGCTGGATCTTGCCAGTCATGCGCCGCTATGGCCTTTTCCGGCCAGATCCACCGGCAAAGGCTAGATCTACGGCCAGATCTGGCCGTCGTATTTGCTCTCAACGACGGCCAACAAACGGTCGTCGTTGATGGTCAACGACGACCGTTTGTTGGCCGTCGTGACCAACTGTTACGGCCAAAGATCCAGCCGTCAACGGCCAGATCTTTGGCCTTAGATCTGGCATTTTCCAACCAGATCCACCGTGGATCTGGCCGGAAAAGGCTAGATCGGCGCACTACCGGCCAGATTCAGCCGGTAGTGCACCATCCTACCAGATTCCGGCCATTTTCAAGCGGTGGTGGCCGGAATCTGGTAAATGTGGATTGTTGGGGTGTTTTTGTAATTTTTAAAAAAATATTTAGGGGCATTTAATTAAATTAACAAATTTAGAGGGTTTAAAAAAAATTGAATAATATTGAAAGTAGTATTCCCAAAAATGAGAGTTTTTGGGTATTTTACTGTTTAACTTTTTTGGGAATACTAAGAGTAGTATTCCCAATTTTGAACCAAATGAAGCCCTGGGCATTTTTGGGAATACTAAGAGTAGGTAATTGTCATTTTTAAACCTTTCGGATATCAAATTATCTTTATGATAAACTATGGGTAGATGCATGTGTTTTGGCCTATTTATATAAAATGAAATATGTTTTTCAGAAGTAAAAATTGATTAATTTAAATAAATAAATAATATTTTAGATAAAATCAAGTATATTAAAAAAAAAAAATACTTGAGAAATAATTCAAATAAAGGCACGTCAACGAGTTTCCAAACACCCGGGTAAAGCTGAGGCTAATTTTCCTCACTGTACTAACCAAAACTCCCAAGTTTCTCCCCTCTCACACTAAACCCTAAACATTAAACCCTACGAAACAAACAAACTTTTAGATGCCATTTATCGGAATGAATTTGTAAACCGAGTTTTACTGAAACAAGCATGTTCATTGCTTCAAGATGCTATAAGCACATCTTGCAATTCAAACACAAGATAAATTTATCGGCCGCCATTGATTCTAACTCCGCTTCAATCCTCCGCACATTTGGAGATGTCGGACGACTTCGATATAAAAGGGTAAGTCAAAGCTTCAAATTAATTATTTCGAACGCATTTGATGGGAAGTGTTACCCTTCATATATATATATATATATTAAACATGAAACGAGAAATTGGCTATGTAACTTATTTTTATTTTTCTTGTTTTCTTTGTTTAGCTTATAATTAGTGATTATGCTTCTAATACAGAATTGTATAACATACATCCCAGTTGGGTTCCCTTTGATTTCGCCATTCTTTGCAAGTGTAAGTAAATTTATTGGCAATTATAAGTCACTTGTGACTCGGGCCGCTGCAGATGAAGATGAGGTAACAGAGGAAGCCTTGAATCAAATTCTTGCCACTGTAGAAAATGATCCAAAGTCTGCAAAGGATATTTGTGCTGTAAACATTGATAAGCTGTGCAGAGCTGGAAATACTTATGTTGCTTTTAGATTACTGCAATCCTTGCGAGACAAACAAATCTTCCTTCCTGATGGGTATGAACGTCTACTGGTGGCAGCGGCTGAGAAAAATGATATTGAAATCTCGACTCAGGTTTTCATGGATTTATTAAGGTCCTGTAGATCCTTGAGTTTAGCTTGTTATCTTAATTTTGCTAGGGCTTTTGCAAAGACAGATGATTCTGTCCAGCTAGTGAGCTTTGTTGAAGAAGTATCAGAGCTGGCCTTTCCAGAAAGTATGATAGTAATGAACAGAATCATCTATGCCTTTGCTGAATGTAGACAGATAGAAAAGGCACTTTTGATATTTGATCAGATTAAAAGTTTGAAATGTAAGCCAGATTTGATAACATATAATATAGTTTTGGATATCTTGGGTCGCGTTGGCCGTGTGAATGAAATGCTTCGTGAGTTTGCTTCAATTAAGGAAGCTGGCATTCTTCCAGATTTTATTTCTTACAATACATTGTTGAAAAATTTGAGAAAGGTTGGGAGATTGGATTTATGCTTAGTCTATTTCAGGGAGATGGGTGAGAGTGGTATTAGACCAGATTTGCTTACTTATACTGCATTGATTGACAGCTTTGGTCGATCGGGTAATATTGAGGAGTCATTGAGACTGTTCAACGATATGAAGCAGAGGCAGATCCGCCCATCGGTTTATATATACCGATCCCTAATCGATAGTTCGAAGAAGATGGGGAAGGTTGATTTGGCGATGACTCTTTTAGAGGAGATGAATTCATCTCTATCAGTTCTGGCAGGTCCAAAGGATTTCAAACGAAAAGCCAGGTAATTAAGCTATGAAAAATTCCTGGTATTATCTTCCAAGGGACTCCGAGTTCAGAAGTTAGCTCCAGCTATTGTATTGGTAAGTGTTTTCTATTACTGACTCTTTTGACTTCGGTTGGTTTTAAATGCATTGGCTAGGCATCAATATCAGTTTGACTTGCTGCTATATAATTTTTTTCGCCATCCTCTTAATTGAATAATATTTCACTGTTGGGATAGGTACCATGAAAAATGTATGATGGGCATGTGAATGGCTGATCTATATATTTCATTGTGGCTTGTGTAAACCATCAGGTGCTAGTTAGAAGTTCTTTTTCAATTGTTGGCACTCTTCAAATTCCCACAGCATGTGGACTAGTTTAGTGCCATCATTGAAGCTTGAACAGTGGTATGCTTGTGCAGCCAATTGATAACCAATGATAAAATTCTTTCTCAGGCCTGCAATAGTGTAATCAGACTTTCTTACTGGTTCTGTTTTGATGTTGGGAACTTGCAAGCAACTACTTAAGTCGAGGCAGCCTAACCATCTGATGATCATGCTTTTGAAAGTATGGGAATTGCAGAACCATCTGATGCTGAACGCCAACTTCATGTATGCATAATTAAAACTGCAAATTCCTGTCAATATAATGGCTCTTTTTCTCCACTTATTCAAGATTATAGCTGATTTCTATAGTTAGACTAACCTAATTAAGGGCGTTTGTCTGACCTTTTTACTGTTCCACACCTCCTTCGGTATGTCAGTGGATGTTTATGTGGCACATGCCGTGGCAGTTTCCATGTGAATGAGGTTGGAGTGCAGTCTGGAGTCTTGAATTCAGCAGCTCCAGGAAAAGGGGCAGGTAAACTGATGTGATCGACATGTCATATTTTTAGATCATGTTAATTTCCTTCTCTCTAGTCATATTATGGACTGAGCTTTACATGCCAATTTGATGCACAAGATTACAAAAATTCCTGTGGCAAGACTAGTGAATTTTTGTTTAATCTGACTTTTGGCTGTATAAAAGCAGAGAATTGTGACATTGAAAATTCATCTAAACTGAACACGCAATTAGGAAGTGAACAGGCAGAGGTAATGGCATAAAAAATTGTGAACCTGCTATATGAAATATGAATTATAAAATACATAACATGTATGGAAGAAGAAAAGATCTGATGTGTTGTAATTACTAAAATGTCAAAAAAATTCCACCCTTCCTGCATTAGAAAATATCAATAGTTGAAAGCAAATTTCTAAAATGTGTTCTGTATCTCATATGCGACTTGAGTCTTCCAAAAATGAACCGACGTCCCCAGTCAGATATCACCAGAAATCTTGTGCTCCAGCTTGCTTGCTGAAGTGGAGAGAACCATCAGGTGAGGTGATGACAAAATGATAAAAGCGGAGTGTGTATATAAAAGCAAAACTGAAACGAAAACAATTACCTTGCATAAACAGAATACGAGAGCCACTGGCTGCTATGACCAATAGAAACCCAATCTCCTGGTATTTGAGCTGCAGTTTGCTCTCCTCCTAGTGGAGCAAATTGTCCCAAGTACTTGTACCTTACAATAAAGGATATATATATTTAGTCAGACTGCAAGACGTCACAAAATTCCTAAAACTTCACTATTTTGTTGAGCTCTACTAGAAATTCCATTTCATTACTGTATTATCTCATAGAAAACCTTCCATGTATTAGATTTTATCAGGAAGATAAATTTCAACTTGTACCTTAAAGGATGAAATCGATGGTGGCCTGTTCCCCTGAATCTGAGAGGACCTTCAGGATACTTTTCACAGTGCTCCATACGATTGAAACAGTTTGCAAGATAGGTGCCTTTTTGAGCAGCAACCTAAAGTAAGGAATTAGGGAAACATAAATGAACAAATAAAGGAATTAACAAAACAAAAACCATTAGATTACAAGTAAGAGGTAGGAAGATCTATTCAGAAGAAAATCAAATCTGTGCTTCACCTGAGCTGTTGCAGGAAGCTGCTTCGTTTGAGAATCCACTTCAGAAAGAGCTTTTGTAAACGCTTCTATATCCAATTCCATGGAATCTTTCTTTGGATCCCCTTGAGCATTCTTCAGTAAAACATCAATGTTCTTAAACTGCTGCTTCTTACAAATAAGTTTGTACTTGAGGTGACGTTACCTCTCAATGTCATTGATAACTTCTCGGAAGTCTTTTAGTTTTAATCTACCAGTATTATTCTTGTCTGCCTTACTGAATATTGCTGATATATCTTCCTGGTATTGTTTGGGCAAAGTAAGAAAAAATAATTGACCTTATCAGTGCATTGTATGATGGTAACATATTAATTTTTTTCTTCACAAATGAAAAATCATTTGAATAGCAGATATAATTTGATTACTTCTGTGTCAGCTACTTCCAACCACCACAACTTTCTTTTTCTTCCATTCAGCTTCATCAGAATAGCCATACATGTTTTGAAAAGGCCGGCCATCAGAAACTGCTACTACACCTCCACCATTGCACGAAATAAAAATTGCATCAAATTGAATGACATTAGTGTGCAATATCTGTAGACAATAGCTAGAGTAAGAGACGAAACAAGAAGAATGATAATATGCATACGTGGCATACAGCAAGTATCATAAATAAAAAGAAAAAATAGAAAATAATTTGCACCTCAAGAACAAAACAATGAGAAAACTGTTTCTTTACGCGAAATCAATATTAATTTGAAAGGATAAAGTCATTAGTGAAATTCATAAACTAAACCTAACAAACTCAACTAAGCTAAACACGTTAAAAAAATTAAAAAAAAGAATAATAAGCTAAGCACCTGACAGTCCCAATGACTAGAAGCTTCGACAGCAAGGAACGCTCACGATAAGCTCTAATGGCCTTATCATAAAACGTATAACTCACCATTGAAAAACCTAGTCTTCTGCTTTCACTGGAAACCATAAAATAAAAAGGGTTTTACAGAGACTTCATTGAGCAATAGTTGCATGGAATAGGGTTTGTATAATGTAAAAGTTTTTGCATTGTAGTATTAGTTAATACACAAGTACTTCTTCTATACTAGTTAATACTAAATACAATAGTAGATTAAAGGATGTATTGTATTATATCTTTTCTTATTAATTAATTAATTACCATTAAAATTTAGTTTAATATATTTAAAAGGCTATTAATTCAAATAACTTTTATAATTTTTTTTTTTTTTTTTTTTTTTGTAACTTTCTTTAAAATTCTAAGTTACTAAATTACCTTTTTTTTAAAAAAAACAAGTAATTCATTTTATGTAAACAAAATTAGTGATAATTTAACTTTAAGCTAAAAGGTAAAAAGAGATTTAAGTACTTAAATTTCAACTAACAGTTGTTTTGAAGAAATTGTCCCGTAAATGACAAAGGAAATCAGTCACAAAGAGTGTGACTAAAGCTTGCATTAGTGATTACAATGAAGAAAGAAAAATTGAGCTAAACAATCCCTCATAAATTTCATTACTCATAATATACAACAATCAAGTTCGAGACTGCAATGGAAGCAATAAAAATATACACTAGAAACTAGAAATATGCATCCATTTCTCACTCATAACAAACAATATACATAAAAACGATACTTATATGAAACTATATTATATAATAGGTTCATACACAGCAATGATTTAATGGAGGCACCCCGTGATGATTTGGAAGGTTCTTTAGTTCCTGCCTCAAATTCGGCTAGAATCTCTCCCAAAAATAAATCTTCTCGTCCAATCAGATACCAGTAGAATCCTTGTACGCCAGCTAACTTGCTTGCTGAACATGCAAAACAATTATGGTAAAACAAATTCATTGATGTGCAGACCATTGACTACAACAATCAAAGCAAATCTAGATTCTAGAAGCAGTAGACCAATCAACCTTGCATACACAGAATACCAGAGCCACTGTGTGCTGTGGCCCATGGAAACCCAGTCTCCAGGTAATTCTGCGGCGGTCTGCTCTCCTCCCAAAGGAGCGAATTGGCCAAAATGCTTGTACCTTGTAATCACATAGTTTTCAACAGATCACGGGTTAGACTGGGGAAGGAAGGATGACTTAAAAGATTATTTTACTTTGTAAATCTCATACTCCCTACTACACAAGAATCCCAATCTTCAGTATCTAACTTATTGAAATTGTCTGAAGGTGTTTGCCATGCCAGAAAATCATGAAGAAAGAATTTGTTGTTAATTCATTTAATACAAGGAAAAGAACACCTGACAATACTCTAGGACTTACCTTCTGTGGCTTATTCATACCTAGGTTGCGAAAACTCATGGCTTTGGAAAATTATGAAAGTGGCAACTAACTAAATATTGTTTCGGATCTTGTCAAATAATATTAAACTCAAAAGATAACACATACCCTCATCTACAACTTGATCCAAACAAATATCTAAACACGCCCCCTTATACACAGAAAAATTCAAAACATAAATAAAATTCAAAGACAAACTACGAACTGGTAAGAGGATTCAACAAAGGCCACTTGGTAAAAGTGACTTTAATAACATGTAAACCAAATCACTAACCCAAAAGTTTAAATTGATAAATATAAAACCAACTATAGCATTTAAGTTCCATTAAACCAATCCAATCATACTCTTTACTGGTGACTTTCTGTTGTTCTCTGAGTTCGGTTTTTGCACTGAAGCAAACATTAACAGGGGAAAGCAGCCAATTCAAATTGAAAAGAAAATCATGCTTATGATAATATTATGCATTTAATGGAAAGAGAAGATTCTAGAGTATATGGCACATACCGAAATGGAAGGAATCGATGACGCCCAGAACCTCTAAACCGTTGTGGACCTTCAGGATTATATGCAGACTGCTCCATATGGTTGAAGCACCTAGAAAGATATGAACCTTGTTGAGCAGCAACCTGAGAACAGAATGATGAAATTCATAAAAGTGAATTCAAATGAAAGTGAATCATATGTGGTTATATGAAAAACAAGTACCTGTGCAGTTGCAGGCAGACTTTTCATTTGTGAATCCGCATGACAGAGAGCTGATTTAAACCCTTCAATGTCCACTTCTGTTCTTTCATTCCCCTCAGCATCTTTTAACAGATCTGCCACACCCCTCAGATGCTTGTTCTTTAGGTAGATTTCCAGTTGGGGGTACCTTACCAGGATGTCATCAAGTACATCTTGAAATTCTTGAACAGTTAAAGTACCCGACTTGTCCTTGTCTGCAACCTCGAATATGGTTGCAACATCTTCCTAAAGGCATAACATTATAGTAGTATGAGTATATATTATTAAAGGGACTACATAGAGATCCAAACATATTATTTGGAATATAAGAATTTCATGTGACCCCTAAACTTTAGCAGATGAGGACACAGTGCCAGGAAAAGGAAAAAAAAAAAAAAAAAAAGCTGTGTAAAATAGTTCCTTAAAAAAGCAGAAAAGATTTTAAGAAGGCATTCAGCAACACAACCATGTTCCCTTTCTATTCTTTTCATCTATTTTTTTATCTTGGATGCATAGTTAAGCTCTAATAGTTTTACAAAGTTTAACGTGGTCATAATAAGGCATTCATTCATTAAAAGGCTTATCTCTTAAAACTTAGTCCAGCTGCTGTATTTTTGGGCCAGGTTTTACTTGAGTATCAGACTTCATGAAAAGAGACATTGTTCTGAAGAAGATTGCAGAATATCAAATCATATAAGATATTTGATGTATGTTTATTTCCTCTTCAACGGAAAGTTCAAAATTTTTTATTTATAAAAACCTATTTGCATGTTTGGAAGTAATACAAGACAAAAGACAACTCAATGCCTGTTTGACCAAGTTGAGTGATAACTTGATCAAAACTTCTTGCTTCAAGAGTTTACCACTACCAACAGATTCCAACAATTATAAGAATAGTATATAATTTGATTGGAGATGTTGCAATGTTAGAGAACAATCCTTCATGGCTGAAGCCAAGCACTTCTGCAAATTGGGAACAAAACTAACTTGTGCTAAGTTTCACATACCATGATTTTGCGTTGATTGATTGTAGCACAATCACCCAGGGCATATACATTTTCACATCCCTTTACTTGCAGCCATTCATTTGTTGCCAGAGCACGCCTATCAGTCTGGAAAACAAAAGCTTGAGCATAAATGATTGGGTAAACATTACTCATCCATTCCGCAATTTCAATAGGCTTGAAGTTAAGACAAGAGAAAAAAATTTATGTTAGCCTGAAAATAATCTGCAAACCCTAGGAAATAAGATGTGGTGAAGGTAGAAACAATGAACATTGATGAAGATCCTAAAATTCAGGGTTATTACAAGCATGAAGAGTTTATGGAACAAACCTGCCCAATTTGCTCCATAAAGTCCCTTATAACTGGACGAGTCCCAACACCAGTTGACCACAAAACCAGTCCATGGGGTATTGAGCAAACCTCTCCCGTGGACTTAATCTTCAAACTAATTTCCTTATCAGAAACACTAATAACTCGACATCCTGTTAGAACCTCAATACCATCCCTCTGAAACTTAGTTTCAGCAAACGAACTAATTCTTTGATCAAATCTGCAGAGACACAATACAAAGTTTTCTGAGTTTGGAAGTTATGACCTTGCTTACATATTGAGTTGGTATGTATATATAGTTCAAGTATTAGGAATAATAATGATAAGGTCTTTAAATCTGGAAAGATTGCTGAAGAAACTTTTTTCACAACCACAATAGCCCAAATTACAAACAAAAGTTTATGGGGAAAATATAAATTTATGATTATGAAGTTACTTGAAATTTAAACTCATTTGACAATATCATATCAAGTCTCTTTGTTTTAGTGCATGAGACTTATTATTGTGGGTTACAAGCATCAAAATTAAAAACCACTAAGAGCCTCACAATATGAAAAATTAAAAAAAAAAAGCAAGTCCCCGTGTCTCTGGAAATTTAAATAGATGTAGCATTTTCTAGATAAAAGCAATATTCCAAAGGAGAAAATAACAGGCTATCGTAAACAAATTAAATTTCCTCGAGAAGCAAAATAACACATGCTAAACTCATCTCGTCTAAACCTAATCCCTATTACTAGAAGATAGAACATGCAGGTAATAACCCAATATATTAATGCTGGAAAAATTCCCCATGACTACAAGTTTATACTATTTTAGGTAATTTCTTACCATGTTGGTTTACATTATCTGTTGTATTTATCACACCCCAATTGGTAGAAAACCTGAAGTTTATACTTCTTTAGGCTACTCGAGCACATTGATAAAATTTCTGACAAAAGAAGCATACTTTCATTTTCCATTGATGTGAAAAGAAACAAAATATGATTATTCTGTACTTACGAGTTCAAAATATGATCTCCAGATTGGATTATAGTTATCTTCACAAGATCTTTAACTGAAGGATACAATTTGACCAAATCTTCTTGGATATAGTCATGCAACTCTGCAGCAAACTCCACACCAGTGGGGCCGCCTCCGACAACTACAAAATGAAGGTTTGTCTTTCTTTCTTCTTCACTTAGCCCAGGAAGGACAGCCTTTTCAAAACAATCACTCACAGTCCTGCGGATCTTCAGAGCATCCTCTAATTCCTGCATTCTAAACTTCAGTACCTTATGAAAAAATGCTAGAGCAATTTAATAATATCTGCAAATTCGCATAAATGGGGCAATAAAGGAGTATCAGAGACAAGTACCCTCCTGAACAATCAAATATTGATTCCGTATGAAAATCTAATAGCTTTACCTTCAGAAAATGGCAGTTCTCCATTACACCAGGGGTGCCAAAAGTATTTACTTGAGCTCCTACTGATATAACTAAGTAGTCATATTCCAGAGAGAACTCTGAATTTCCCACCAAGTTCTTGTTAAGGTTTGACTTACAGGAAACCATTTTCTTTGATGGATCAATTTTGGTACATTCTGCTTCCCAAAATTGAATTTCCGCATTCCTCTGTCAGAACAATTAGAGAAGCAATAAAAAGAATGCTCTAATAAACAATAGAAATAATACAAAAATAATTATTTCCGCATAGCATTAATAGTGTGATACTTGCTATGTCAGGAAACCAAAAAGTCATTGTTAGACAGCAAGTAACAGATACATTGGAAGTATGATAGTGTGTAAAATGATTTTCTCAAACAACATAGGGAGATTTCTTGAAGAGTGAATGAATCTGACAAGTCAGAGAGGAAGTTGAAGAGGTCAACAAAACACATTTTACAGCTTACAATATGCTTCTCTATCATTTACAAAACAGAAACCAAAAACATCCAAAATGCCCCAGCTTTTCATTTGTGAACATGGACAACCTATCTCACCTTTTTCTTTGGCAGTAAATGATAAAGAAAAGGAAAGCATTATACCAAATTAGTTCACATGATTTTTCCTTTCCCTAAAATATCATTGCCTTGATGTTAGGGAAGCATATAAAGGAATATATCCTCTTCACCATATATCAATACATAAACACGGACTGGCATATGGGTGGTCATATCTAAAGATATGTTCAACAGAATTTTTGAAGCTCATCTACCTTCTTTATAATTTTTCGGATTGGCTCTGCAATGCTTCGTGCTTCTACTGTGCCACAGGTTACACTAGGCAACAAAGGAGTGAATGCAAAATAATTCCTAGGTGAAACAACTTGAACATCATATGATGAAACATCGAGATCTTTAAGGAAACTTGTACCAGCCCATCCTGTTCCAAGTACCACCACTTTCTTCTTCTTAGACTCGCTTTGATCACCTTCAACACTGTGAGTGCTAACATCCGGTTGTGATTCCGAGTATGCCAAAAGACCTCCACTACTGCAATAGGTCACAAACCATGCATGCCGTTATATATTATGAAGACTTCTTAATACCATGACTGTATTATATTTGTAAAACCAAAAGAAAAACTTTTGATAACACAGTAGAATTTTGAAACAGCTTAAGGACTAAAATTCCTGTACTAATCTCCAGCCTTGGGGTAATACAATTATGTCATAAACTACCCAGAGAAAGCCATCCGAAAATGATGGGAGACATTTCTAATATACAACTAAACAGGACACACCAACTGAGAAGCACCGGGTAGTTCACCACTGCCAGATATTTGTCACTAATGATTTTGCCAACTCTCAAGTGACTATACACGGTCTTGTCTATAGCAGGAACAATTTGTTCTACCCACCCGCCAGAAATGCTCTTTTAGAAGAAAAAAACAGCAGACATTTCTGTTTCAGCTAGCTGTATTTCTTTGAAGTTACACAGTAAGGGCACGTTTGTACATCTTGTGGTTGTGGAATACAAATTCCCCTGTTTTGTTCAAATATTAGTTGGAGACATCAAAGCAAATGGAACCCAGACAGCCCTTCCTCCTTGAAGTCTCCAATACCGCCCTTTCTAAAACCAGCTTAATGAAACAAAACCAGAAAGTCTTTGGTTGGACCCCTCGATGGAACCATTTGGATATGGGATTCTGTGCTCCAGGTCATTAATTAATGTGTTAATAACTCAAAAGGCTCGTTAACCTATCTAAAGTAGGTAATTAAATATTTTAAGGATAATATTTATTCATATTTTTTAAATGAGGGGTAATTATCGTTATTGCTTTATTTTCCCCATCATCTCCCATAATATAAATCACAGATACTTATAGTCACCATAATACAAATCTTGAAATATGAAAAAATTAAGAGATTAACTTAAGAAACCGTTGTATTACTGATCATCTCACTGAGACTCAGAGATCCTATTTTTAAAATAGAATCATTAAGAAAAAAAAAAAAATTGCGAAACTTTGAGCAGGAAGCAGAAACTCGATCCGAAGTATGTGTATGATTGAGAAGGCAAGATCTTTTTTTTTTCAAGTAAAAATTTCTAGTTTCCAATCTCTAACTTTCTTGCATTCTGTCAGCAACCAAACATAAATCTACAAGAAAGAAGAGAAAGGAAAACGAAAGCAATTTAACAGTAAATGAGGGGGTAGGAACCTGAGAGTGCAGACAACGAGAAGCTTGGAGTAGGAAGAGTAGCCATTGAAAGCAGTGGAAGCTTTCTTGAAGAAGGAAGACAAAATTGTCATTTTGAGCTCAAAATAGTCTGAATCGAAGCAGATATTTGTGGTGGTTGATTTGAAATAGAGAGTCAGTGAATCATACTGGAGATGAAGGAGAAGAAAAAGAAAGAGTGTTAGACTTGTAAAGGTGTAAACAGAAGATAGCTTAAAAGGTCATTTTTTAATTGCTCCGTCTGTCCAGCTTTGTACACCTCAGCATAACTTTACACGTGCTAATTTTTAATTCGGCCTTCTCCGTAAACAGAGGTTCTTGTGAGTTATGATATTTCAACAGTAAAGTAACATGTATTGGGATTTTATCTTCAAACAAGGATAAAATATTTTTTATTTATATATGAAATTAAATTAAAATCAAGGTTAAATAAGTAGTACTATTTGTTTGTAAAAAGAAATATGAATCTGTTCACATTATGCATATAAATGTGATAGGTTGGAGGTTTGTGTAGCGCATAATTATCCAGTGTTTAAAGGATAAATGCATATAAAAATACTATGAAATAATTAATCCAATAATATAATAAAATAAAAGGCAGGACTTAGGCGAGAGTAGACTCCAGCCGCTAACAAATGAATGAATAGCATGTGTAATTGTGACAAACATAAGAACCTTCCATTAATAAAGACTATTATATGTGAATATCTTTTGTTTGTTTAATTGATTCAACTATATTTTAATTCTTATAAGCATTCGCAAAGAAAGCTTATGTGTGAATCAGACAAAAAAAAATCTGCATCCACCTTACCAAAATGTCTCTAATGGACCTTTTACCGTGAAATTTCAGGGTGGGTCCATTAGTACAAAATAATATATTAAAATAATGTAAAAATGATTCGGTAATAAAGTAGAAAAATATTTAATTTGATGAAAAAACAGGTCTTAAACAACATTTGTTCTCGTAGAAACAACTAATTAACAAGAAAGATCATGCTTGTAGATAAGGTGGTGGAACTTGATGAAGGCAAAAGAAAACAACATTGGAAATGGACTTTATCTTATTTTACAACGTGTTTTATGCCGTTGCGAATAAAATGATATGGTCGGAGTTGGACAGTCTTTGGATAAATCTCACGTGCTCTTAAACAAATCTAAAGGTAAAAGTATACGAATATCTTTGAATAACTTTTTATATGATTCAAATCTTTATTATAAAAAGTTTATCCATAAAAATAAGAGTCTAATAAACTTTTTATCTTTTAAATGTAAATTAAAGAGTGAATTTGACTTTCTACCTCTAAAGAGTTAAATTTCACTCTTTATCTTAATTTTAATTAATAAACTAAAAATTTCTATACAATTTATTTATTAATTCTCTCTCCTATTAAATATATTTCTTAAAAATAAAGAGCATCCTTATTAAATTTAAAAAGTTCATTAGATTTGAATAAAATTTTTGTTCTTTATACAATAAAACTTCTCTATAGTGATACTCTAAATGGGAATAAACTCTATATAGTCATAAAAAATTATAATCCCAATTTGGGATAGTTATAAATAAGAATAAATTTCACATTGTAATAAGTTATAATTTTTCTAATTCCCGTCTTAAGGAAAGTTACTTTAACATAGTAATAATTATCTGTATATTATAAATAAATATATGTTATGTTACATTAAAGGTTTAAGATGAAATAAAATATTTATCTAAAATTGTTTGGGACAATGATTTATGCTTTAGAGTTATTACCACATCTTTTATCTTACGATTACGTAATACCTCGCTAGATTGGACACTTTTTTGTTGAAGCAAAAATATTTTTAGCTTCTCAAACATGTTTAAAGCTTCATAGCAAGAAACTTTTTGTATTTCCGTACTATCATCCTTATGATTATTTTCTTTTTCTTCTTGTCTAATTACAGTAATAATTTCTTCTTTGGTTAAAGTATATATGATTTGTTGTTCATTTAGATGATCGATGAAGACATTAATATCTATTTGATTAGTGTAGTGAAGATATTGAATCTAATCCCTCAATTCCACAATGACTCTTTTATTCTTTTCATCCACTTCATTTGTAACTTGTAATTCATCGATGCTAGAGATCCTAATTTTGCAGTGCTTAAAACCATTGGTAATTGTCTGTGGCTTCACATCAATAGACCATGCATCAACTGCATTTACAGTTCCATCAATAACACTTATCTTTGTTGGTTCCAAGACATAATCTTCTATCTATTTCAAAAGTAGGCAATTGAAGCACTAAATTGAAATCTTAATACGACTAAAATATGAATTGAAATCCTAATACTATACTACTAAAACATGAATTATAAAATAAGAAATCAAAACAATAATTTTTGTAACTACACCTCCATTAAGTTATAACCTCCTCATAATAATAAAATTAGTTAGTCCCACCATTATGACTATAGAGAAGTTTTACTGAATTTAGAAATTAATGAAGATGCTATTTATTTATATGAAAGATGCTCTTTAAAAATAAAGAGCACCATTGGAAATGTTCTAACAGTTTTGTATGAGATTTTGAATGATGAGATGCTTTGTAAGAAAACTTTTGAATGATGAGATTCTTTTCTCACACAAGGTTTGCCTTAATGACAATTTCCACCCAAAGTTTGTATTCCATTGATATTCAAAATACACTTCACTTTCTCAATTGGCATTCGGTGAGTTACCAAGAGCCAGGGTAAGAGGGGTTTTATAGAGTGGAGGCTGATCAATCGAATGATGGTGACCGATTGAATATTAGTTGTCGAAATCAGCTAGAAATCAATTAAGAACAAGAAACACTAACTTTACGGTGGTTGGCAACCGACAAGAAATCAGGTGCCCGAGTGAGAGGGGTTTTGTAAAGAATAGACTAGAGATTCAAATGGTGGTAATAGAGAGAATCTTCGCTACCGGAATCATCTTTGGGTATTAAAGGAATATAAACTTTGGGTGGGAAAGTGGTATTTTGAAACTTTTTGGGTGGCAAGTCATTAAGGCAAACCTTGGGTGGAAAAAGTCGTTGACTCGCAAACTTTATTCCTTTGAAAATAGTGATAGGTTAGTTGGAGGTTACGCATTGGTCAAATTATTTACAAAATTACTACGATAATGCTCTCTAAGAATCAATAAAGAAAATTGAGATGAAACACCCATATTCTATGATCTAAAGGCTTTAATCAATTTTATAAAATTAGAAATATCTTTTAAATTGAAAATTATCCTAAGGGTGTGTTTGGTTGGGGGTTATATAGGAATTTAGGGCTGAAAACAAACTGAACAGTTCGCGAACAACTTGTTGTTCATTTGATTACTGTTCGATAATGTTCATGAACAGTTCGATATTCGTTCGATAATATGTTCGATCGAGTTCGAACATGGGTTGTTCGTTCGATTATGTTCACGAACATTATACGTTCGACTGATCCATCCGTTCGCGAACAATCGTTTGATTGTTCGTTCGTTTATGTTCGAAAAACATGTTATGCATTATTATAATTTAATTTTTTTTTTTCATTTTTATATTATGTTTGATTTAGTTTGGATGAATTTTTTTTAATGGTAATCAATAATAAAATATTATGATACTTTTGTTTTTCTTATATATATAATATGTTTGGATTTTTTTTTTCCAACTGTCATCAATAATTAAATATATAAGTATATAACATTTTAATTAAAAAGTAATAAATTATTATGATACATAGCATGACAAATTTAATAACATAATAGATTGTATAATCTAGTGATATATAATATAGTAAATCCAATAACATAATAGCTTCATATTTTTCTAAATGTAATCAATAATTAAATATTATAAGATAGCATTTCAATTAATAAATAATAAATATAGTATGGTAAATTGATAAACATAACATATTGTATAATCAAGCGATGTATAATATAACAAATTTAATAATATAATAGCTTAATTAAACCTAAATTAATCACACATTTGTATAGATCATATATTACAATAAACCCTCATACCACTATGAATTTATAGGTGTTGATACAAAATATATATGTAGACAGTAATGATAATATATGTATTGATCATATATTACAATAGACTTTCATTCCACTATAAATTTATGAGTGTTGATACAAAATATATATGTAAACATTTAAAATATTTATGATAATTTATGTAATGATAATAAATATATGATAACCTATAATTTTGGTAATTTCATAACATATTTAACCTATGATTAATATATGTATGATAATAATTTTGTATATACACAATTACACATTATATATAACAAATTAATCACACATATGTATTGATTATATATTATAATAGACCCTCATTTCACTATGAATTTATGGGTGTTAATACAAAATATATATATAAACATTTAAAATATTTATGATAATTTATGTAATGATAATAAATATATGATAACCTATAATTTTGGTAATTTTATAACATATTTAACTTATGATTAATATACGTATGATAATAATTTTGTATATACACAATTACACATTATATATAACAAATTAATCACACATATGTATTGATTATATATTATAATAGACCCTCATTTCACTATGAATTTATGGGTGTTAATATAAAATATATATGTAAACATTTAAAATATTTATGATAATTTATGTAATGATAATAAATATATGATAACCTATAATTTTGGTAATTTCAAAACATATTAAATATATATATATATTTTTTTTTTTCTTTTTTTTTTTTTGAAAACACAAAGTCGAAAGTCGAAACCCACATTTTCCCAGCCCAAATTTTAAAAATCCAAAGTCCAAACCCACAATTTGTTTTGAACGATATTGCTCTGTTTAATTTATTTTGAAGTTTTATTATTTATGATGGTTAGTTATTTTAATTTACTAAGTTTTTATTGATTTATTTAAAATATAAATATAGATAGAGAGTTGGTTTATTTTCAAAGGTTGAATTAAATGGATATGAATTATAAATTGTTGTATATTTGTTTTTTAAAGCATGAATTGGAAAGTTAGTGTATATTTTTTATTCGAACAGGTATTCGAACGAGTTATTCGAACATGTATTTACAAGTTACCGAACGAGTTATTCGAACAGGTATTTACAAGTTAGTCGAAAGAGTTAGTCGAACGAACACGAACAAGCTTTTTGTTAATCGAACGAACACGAACGAGCTTTTTGTTAA